CTCTATATACATTTATTATGTATTTGCAGCAGCTGGCCTCTCGATTTTGTGTCTACAATCCTTCTGTGACACGTTTCCACTCCTGTTATTTACCCTTAAAAAAAGTGATCTTCAATTTTTCAGTTGAGCTTACAAAATATTTTCTTTGGCCCTACAATGAAAAATGTATGTATATATTTTTTTTCAACAGTTGTGTGCAGCGTATTAAGAAAATATATAAAGAACCCCGACTAATACCATTGACTAGGCTTTCATTTCTTTTCTTTTTCTCCTCTCACTCCCTTTTTTATTCTGTTTATTTATTATTTATTTATTTTTGGGCAAACTTCATTAGGTACTTTGACTTTTGACTTGGTTTGTTGGAAGTAGGTTCATGTAAGATCAAACACAATCAACTAAAAAATTATTCAGAAATGCCACTACATTCCTATATATAATTATTTACCAAAAAAAAAAGAATCTTGCAAATTCATTCAATATTATGGGTACAGGAGCCAAATTGACATTCAAATCTGTAAAGGAGCAATGGGGAAGCCCGAACAAAGTAATTGGATGTGGGTACAACCCGAGCCAGAAGAAGGTCTTCTTCACAGTCGACGCACAATTAGTACACGAAATCCACTGCAAAACGGATGATTTTGGTTCACCACTTTACCCAACACTAGCCGCAAATACTGATGTGACCGTTTTAGTGAATCTTGGACAGAGCCCGTTCAAATATTCTCCCGCCAATTTGCAAAGGACCCCTAATCCATGCTTTATTAATGGGACCTCCTTCTCGCCCTCCTTAGGATACGAAGACAGCAGAGAACTTTTCTCGATGGGGAGGATCGACTCACAATGGCTACAAAGGAGTGTGAATAACAACACAGTGAGTTGTAGCATTAAGGCTATGGAGTACGATCAAGACTCTGATGCTGATTTGTTTGAGATTGTCCTGGATACTAATACGGGCAAATCTCCATATGCAATACATCATCAATAGATTTTATACAAAGGTAAATAAATAGGGAAACAGATGAAAAGTTGTTAATTTTTTATTACCTATCATCTTTATTGTATCTCAATATTTCTTTTCTCTTTTGTTCAGGGGAAATTGATGAATTTACAATTACATGATATTAATATAGTGTATTTTATAAGCGTAGGCTCATTTGTCTAACAAGGTTGTGTATGTTATGGTAAACATCACTTATGGGCTATGGGGTATAGAGGAACTATTAGAGTTGTTATTTGTATTTCATGAGTTGCTATTTGTATTTTATAGATTGTATTAGAGTTGTTAGAGTTGTTATTTGTATTTGATGTATAGAGTTGCTACTATTCCTAAAGCAACTTAGACAAAGTGTGTTTATAGGGTAAGAGTATAAATACCCTTATCTTGTACACAAACTTCCATTATTCATTTTTCTTTTCTCTCGCCGCATCTCTGTTCATCTCCTCTCTCTCTAGCTCTCAATCTCTTCTCTCGATCTCTCTCTCAAATTCATTTAGATTGTTCGATTCAATCTCAATATGGTATCATTCGCTGGTTGATCCTCATTTTATTCTCACTTTTCCACTGCAAATCCGATCTCTGACGGGTTTTTCGAGCGAAAACTCGTAACCCTAGATCCACTCCGATCTATCTCCATTATACATCGACCTACTCTCCTCGATCTCTGTTCTTTTGATCTCATGGCCAATGCGATATCGCCGTCTGACGATCCTTCGACACCGTTCTATCTCCATGCTTCAGACAATCCTGGTGCCCTAATTGTCGCAGAGACCTTCAATGGCGACAACTACACCTCGTGGTCCCGTGCTGTTACCATGGCTCTCAGCGTAAAAAACTAGGGCGGCTTTATTGATGGTACAATCGTTCCACCCCCTTCCTCTAACACTGTGCAGTTTATGGCTTGGTTACGTGCTAATAACCTTGTGGTTTCATGGATTCTGAATTCTTTGTAAAGATAT